GTATCGAACAGTCGATTGTGTATAAAGATAAACCTGAAAACTAAATAGAGAGATATGCGGAGCGCAAAAGAGAAAGCAAACCTATCGATAATCATATACAGTGTACTGATACGCGTATATATATATATATATATAGATAGATATAGAGATATATCTTACCTAGTGTTAATGGCGAGGAAGGGTGAGATACCATGCAGTACAGTAATCTGAAGAGGGGAACAGTGAGCGGGAAAGGAAATAAAGCAGGGTGTCCTCGTTTTCAGTTTCTCTCTAATCTCCTATTTCTCGCTCGCAGAAACTTTATTTGTTTGGAAGAAAACTTACAGAAAATTAAGCATAACCGAAAGCCTTCCTTGTATGCCGTATATATAGAGCCTCTTACCAGATATATAGTTGTTAGTTATTTATTATTGTGCTTTAAGTTAAGTTAATTATAAAATTATTAATTTTTAAATTATACTAAACTTCGTATTATATATTGATGACTGTTAATTTATAAATATTAATAAAATAATAAATTATATATTATGTAAAATTTTAATATATAATATAAATATTTTAACTGTTAATAATTAAATTATGACGTAATTAATTTGACATGGAACGGAGCGTTTCAAACTTTTTGTTGGCGCTGGTAAGTTAAAGTTTACTTTGTTTTATTCCTTTTTGGTGTTGTCCTTGTAAATCCAAGGAGCTGCTGAAAATGACAGCAGCTGATAGTTTCCAGTTCCGTCTTAAATCATCATACATTACTCTAATTATCAATTGATGCTTTTTGTAATTAGCAAAAAGGTTTTAGAAAAAGTACTGTAGAATTTCTGAAATTTTATTTTTTCAAGTTAATCATAAAATTATGTGAATTACATTATAATAATAATAAAAAAATCTTTTAACAATAAAATTCGTACTGTTAAATTTTAAAATAAATTAGATCTGAAATCATATAATCGTGCTCGTATTGAATCAAAAGAATTAGATTTGTAATCAGAATCGTATTTGAATCTATAACGA